GTGGCTCTAAAGTTCATTTGAATAGATACAGGTCAGATTTGACCCAGAACAGCCTCAGTTTGTACTGTACAACAGTATAAAGTTTTAACATATTTTCATTTTTGTTTATTTTTGGTCACTTTTGGAAAAGTCATCAGTCTTCAGATGACCTAAAAACAGATTCAATCTGACCTGAACAGTATGTAAGGGTTAAAAAGATAGGGTAGATTATATGTTTTTTAAAGCAGCAGCTTTTCCTGTTATGAAACTGCAAAAAATAATTCATAATGCCTGAAAAAAGACAGCTGCGCCCTTGATTTGTAACACTGATGCTACAGCAAGGCACTCCTGCAGCGGAAGACACAGCAAAACATGTGCGATAAATGATTACTTACATTGATCTCAGTGATGGCAATGTCAACCACGCTACCAACAACAATTAAGGCATCAAACGTGTTCCATGCATCAGCAAAATAGTTCTGCAAGCACAGGCAACAAAGACACACAGAAAAGAAGAAAGAAAGACAACAAAGCCAGGAAGAAAAGGAAGAAGTAGTAAAAAAAAGAAGTGTGAAAGACAGAAAGAAAAGAGCATCAAAAAGTTGTGCTTTGATATAACAGAGCGAGGCTGAAAAGGTTTTCCTGTCTGAGCTTGTGAGAGTGCCAACTTTTATTATTGCTGGCTAAAAGGAATACATGCGGTTTGTTGGCACTTATTGCCCCCGAAAGCTAACAGCAGATTTTCAGGTTATTTAGCAGATATTTGGCCTATCAACCATTGAGCCCAACAAAGATTTAAAAGATCGTTTCAAGTGCAGACACTATTCAACACTAATTTAAGACAGGAAGGTAAGGAAGAAGGAAAGATGTGAAGGATGGAAAAAAGGAGAGTGGCAGTAGCAGCTGGAGAGCAGGAAGAGGGAATGACAGAGTTCTACATACTGACGTCTTTCTACCTGGCTGAGTATGATGTCGACTACACTGCCAATCACCACCAGAGCATCGAAGACGTTCCAGGCGTCCCCAACATAGCCCTGAATATGGCAGCATGCACAGCCAGCAGGAGGAGAGGGGGGAGGCAGGAGAGGAGGGTGATGCAGGAAAGTATAAGAGGTTACAGTGAGGGGTACAGGAGGGTGACGATAAGAAATCAGTGGAAGGATGAGATTCGAGCAAAGAGCCCGTGATGGGAGGCAACAGGAACAGGAAGAAAGAGGGCTGGCTTAAAAGTGTCTTCAGGTAAAAACTCAAACACTGATCTTTTTGGGGATAAAATATAAAAAGGACATCTAGAGGAAAACTCTTTCCCTTTTGAATGCCTAAAAGGGGTAACCCTTGTATCGCTTTCCTAAACTGAGCAGTGTCTGTCATATTTGAGGCCTCTTTCCAGAACAAAATGACTGGGGGTGCTCTAGAAGTTACTGAGGGTGATCTCTGCCTACACAGCTTGGAAAAACCTGGAACCTGATCTAATGGTCCTCAAACTGCATTTTTATTAACATATACTGGAGTTTTAAAACTCATCATTAAGGGTAGAGAGGTGGTCATCTACATGTGGGAAAGAGTTAAGGTACTATTGGTCATTTTGAATAGATCTGCATATAATTTGCTTAAACACTTAAGTTTTTGCAGTAAGGACAATTTTTGACAAAAAATAAAATAAATCATAGAGAGGAGAGAAGAGACTTACTCTGGGCTTGAAGGCAATCAGCTTGAGGATCATCTCTACAGTGAAAACCCCAGTGAACACCATGTTCAGGATGTCCATGGCATAGTTAAATAAATGAGACTGACCATGGTGCTGAAAAGAGACATATGCACAGACTAAACACACAAATATTAAGAAACAAATACGTATTTCAGCATATGACAAAAGACTGTACATCATCATTTTAGACTCATTATGTACAGATCAGATCAGTTCAACCATTAACATTTCTAGGCATAGCAATATTTGACAAACTGATAAATTAAAAATTTATTTGCTACACTATTCGGTATTCACTTGTTTGCCTTCACATACATATGAACTTGAGTGATATCCCATTCTTAATCCATACGGTTTAATATGATGTCCACCGTCCATATTCACCTACACTAGCTTCAAATCTTCTGTCTTTATTTATGGCAATTTTTGAACATTCTTCCAGAAGCACATTTGTGAGGTCAGACACTGATGTTGGACGAGAAGGCCTGGCTCACAGTCGCCGCTCTAATTCATCCCAGAGGTTTTCTATCGGGTTGAGATCAGGACTCTGTGCAGGCCAGTCAAGTTCTTTTACACCAGACTTGCGCACCATGTCGTTATGGATCTTGCTTTGCGCACCAGAGTGCAGTAATGTTGGAACAACAAGGGGCCATTGCCAAACTGTTCCCAGTACCCTTCAGGAGAAGGGTACTTCTCCAGATACCGTCAAACCCAGGCTTGTTCATCAGACTTGCAGATGGAGAAGTGAGATTCATCACACCAGAGTACATCTCCACTGCTCTGGTGCTTTACACCACTGCATCCGAGACTTTGCTTTGTGCTTGGTGATATTGGGCTTGGATGCAGATGCTCAGACATGGATACCCATTCCATGAAGCTCTTTTCACATTGTTCTTGAGCTAATCTGAAGGCCACATGAAGTTTGGAGGTCTGTAATGATTGATTGTATAGAATGTTGATGACCTCCACATACTATAATACCACTAACAGCTGATTCTGGAATATTTAGTAGTGAGGAAATTTCATGGCTGGACAGATCTTCTGCAAGTGACCCATTCTTTCACAAAGTTTGTAGAAGCAGACTGCATGCCCAGGTGTGTTTTATACACCTGTGACCATGGACGTGATTGGATGATCATTGACTTTAATGAGTGAGTCAGTACGTTTGGCAACAAAGTCTATGTAGTGATTGTAAACCCAGTTCAACTTTACCTTAAGGACAGAATGAATAGTTCTTACCTGAATGGCCAGGCATAAGGTGTTGAGGATGATTAGGACAAACATGACGTATTCAAAGCCGGTGGAGTTCACCACATACCAGAACTTGTACTGGTAGGGGTTTTTGGGAATATAGCGCCGAAGAGGGCGAGCTTTAAGAGCGTACTCGACACACTGACGCTGCCATGGTGTTGATGGTTTGTTGAGGCAAAAAGAAGCAGAGACTCATAAACAAGTAATTAATTATTAAGATATTATTTGGCTATAATGTTGCATTATTTCTTCATGCTTTTGAAATAATCATAAACAGACTTTCCTACCTGATTTTTGTCCAGCTCACAGTTCTTGTACTCCTTTTCCCCTTGCTCCTGGAACGTAACAATAACAAAACCAACAAAGATGTTCATCATGAAGAAGGCAATGATGATGATGTAGATGATGAAGAAGATGGAGATCTCGATGCGGTAGTTGTAGATAGGGCCCATGTTCTCCCTGTTGGAGTCGATGGCCTTGTACAGCAGACTGTAGCGACAAAACGGAGACAGAAAGTCAAGATAATCAGTTACTATCCAGTGGCAATACAGGATTTAGTTTGGAAGAAGCAAAATAAATACCAAACATTAAATTCCATCTCGCACATAAAACAGTACTTACGTGGGCCATCCTTCAAAGGTGGAAACGGTAAAAAGAGCCATCATGGCCATGAGGACGTTGTCAAAGTTGAATTCACTGTTATACCAGATCCTCTCCTTCACCATGGGCAGCGCAGTGTCACCATTGTTGTAGAGGATATATGTACCCCTGGGATTTAAAGATAATATTAACTACATATGCTGTGTGCAGACTGAAAATGCAAGCAAAACCAGTAAGGAATCAAAGATCTCACTTGCACTCATCTGGGCTGGACTTTGCATCATCTGTGCATCGATAAAATTTACCCTTTAAAAAAGAAAGCAGATCATGTCAGCTGCAGTGTTGTGCAAGAATCCCAAACTTTGTATAGCTTTTTATTATTTTATGGTAGAAGCATTGTTTAATTTAGTGAAGTGCAGAAGAGAAGTGAGATTTTACAATCAGTGTGTGCCTGTTTCCCATTATAGCTCATTACTGTACCTTAAAAAGTTGCACTCCGATACAAGCGAACATGAACTGCAGCAGAGTGGTGACGATCATGATGTTGCCAATGGTCCTGATGGCCACAAATACACACTGGACCACGTGCTGCAAAGCATACAGTTACAGTGCTATTAGAAATACACAGTTTGTGTCACCAACAAAAGCGTGTGTTTGCACAAACATGGGTGCAAATTCAGACGGACAACTAAACCCATGCATATAGTCAGAGAGAGATATTGTCACTCTCACCTTGAGTCCCTTAGCTCTGTTGATGGCCCTGAGAGGACGAAGAACTCGCAAAACACGAAGAATTTTCACCACTGAGATGGCGGACGACCTATAGGAGACAGAAAAACAGATCAGCGAAAAAGGATTTTAATTTTTAATGGGTATGTCCCCACAGAGGTATTAGAATACTGAACCCTAAAGTTTTAGTTGCTGAGCAACTTAACTGTGACAGAGTACAGACAGGGTTTAGAGAATCAAGATGTAACATGTTAATTCAGTTGTTTTTACTCATGACTTCTTCACAATCTTCAATTGAATTAGGCCATTACCCTAAGTAGCTACTACTGATTTAGTTTAGGTAATGTTTAGGGATTCATGAGTGCGGCTGAATCAAGTAGGAAACACAAAACAGGCATGAAGTCTACTTATTCTATAAATTCACTGGTGAGTTACGTGCACTTTTCTCACATTGGATATTACACTGACTTTCTACCAAGGTGATGGCAGGATAAAGACCATTTAATGTCCATTCTGACTGAGTCACATATTTTCATTTTCACATATGGCTGTGCTGGGTAATGTCTAGAAAGGTTCAGGGAAATGTAGTACATGTGTGAAAACTGTAGTTTTTAACTAGTCATCTGAACATAGTTGCTCAATTTTTAATGACAATCACACTTACTGAATGCCAAAAGACACCAGAGACACACCAACGACCAGCAGGTCTAATAGGTTGAAGTAGTTTCTGCAGAACGCCCCTTTATGAAGGAATGCTCCAAATGCTGTCATCTGGACAAAGGAGAGAACCATGTTGATTAGCCATCAATCAAGGAGGAGGTTCAATCAAGGCAGCAATATGACTGAAAATGCACAATAACTGTTTGCTATAGATGACCTGTTATATTCTAACTGTTATATTCTGTTATATTCTAAGGATTAACAAAAGCACTCAAGCTTGGTAAGTTAAATTAACAGGTAAAAGTTTCAATCAATATTTAAAACACATTTGAAATGAGAAACGTCAGCAATGCATTTATGTGCAGTACCGCGCGCACACACACATTGATGGTATATACAGTACATATAGATACATTAGGTACAGACATTGCAAAATGTTAACACGACATGGGGAACATTTTAAAACTACATTCATTTCCTGTTCAGATTAAGCCACAAAGTGAACCATAAACAAGGACTTTCAAGCTTAAGCTTAAATGAGATTTTCTGGTGCAGACATGCAGCAAGTAATGGGGAAAGGTTAGAGACTCATTTGTGAATGTAAAAATAATAAAACTATTTCGGATTTTTGTGGATTTCTTCAAGCTTTTTATTTGGAAGAACAGTTTTCCAAAAAAAGCTTCTTATCTGTGTTCACAGTGTCCAATGAGACAGTGTGATTAGCTTGGTGTTAGTTGGAGTTCATCTACCATCCGAAATATAGCAGACTTAACAAACATCCTACTATAATGATTGTAGTATATGAATGCACATACCCCACCTCCTCCTTAACATCTATGAACATCTATTACTATAGATGTTCATGTTTAGTTATTTAAAATCTTTGTATATATCATGTTAATTTCAATCTATTATATTACATTCTCAGTACGTCCCATGTAAGTAACTTAATGGTCTGCGTATCTGTCTATGTGACAGACTTTTGTTTGAGTCACCTCTAAATACTGAAGTTCTGAAATTAGGTCCTTAAATATCACAGACATATACCTGAACAAACAGCAATTCACTCCAGTAAAAGCGAGGACATTTTTGACGACAATCAGAATTGTGCAACCCTTACCACTCTGATTACAGATTACATTACAATTTTGATGTAAAGCTCCATTTAAAATTTAAAATGTTTTTAGGGTGCTGCATTATGTAGATATACATATTCATTTAAAATATAAATGAACTACTATGGAGGCAGGAGTTTGAGCCACAGAATTGAAACTGAGATTATTGACCAAAAAAATCAATAATCAAGTCACGTTTACATTTTCAGGTTAAACATGTACAGGTTAGCTTTAAAACTGACAGGGTTTCTATGTAGCTTGCAAAGGAGAAGAAGAAGAAGAAGAATACATAAATACATACATACACACACACACACACACA